CAAATTGTGTTTGCCTAAAATTGGTCTGTAGTTTGACAGTTCAAGACCCTAGTGCCATGTGACGGAGTGATCTCCCGTCTCTGGCCCCAGCTCCTGCCAACCTAGCAGTTCGAAAGCAATAAATTGCAAGTAGATAAATAGGTACCACTTCAGTGGGAAGGTAACAGCATTCTGTGCGCCTCAGTGTTTAGTCATGCCGGCCACATGACCATGGAGAAGTATTTGGACAGTGCTGGCTCTTTGGCTTGGAAACGGAGATGAGCACCGCCCCCTAGAGTCGAATTTGACTGGCTTTCAAGCAAGGGAAACGTTTACCTTTTTAAAATGGGTCTGGGTTTCCCCCCAAAAGCATTATTATGCCCTATTTTGGATCTTTTCCTCTGTGTATTTGTTAATTTTGTATACTGAACACAGCCTCTTAAGGTAGTTACTTTCTTTAAAAAAATTTAGATTAGTCAATGTCACTCTACAAACACCACTGGCTACTTTCTGAAGAGAGAGGTGTTGGGGCTCAAGCCTGCCTGGAAGCCACATGGTATGCTCAAGAAGCCCTGGTCTTGGATCCCTTGTTTGTGATGCCAGGAATGCATTTTGTACGTGTCACATGTTCTTCTTTGCTTTTGCTTCACACAGTGAGGTAAAGAGGAGCAGACAAAAGCCGAAGGAAGGACGATGCCCAAGGTGTGACTGTCACATGGTGAGAGACTGGTAGATGAAATTCTCCTTTGCAGACTGGGCACAAGGAGGCATGGTGACACAGCCCCACCCACTTTTCTGGAGTTTTCCAGTGGGTGATGGGGCCTGCATATCTTTTTTGAAAGAACAAAAACAGTGTGTGCTCACACCCTCTTTGACTTTAATTTTAAAAATTGATTAAAACTCATTTTGTTGGACCTACCAGGATGTGTTCAGAAAGCAAAACAGGTTTGAGGGGAGGGGGAAGAAGAAATTCCAAAATGTTTTCTCCTCGCGCTCAAAAGTGAACACACTTGATACCAGGTGATTCTCTGTGCAGAGGGAGTTCCAAAATCTAGGTATCATAGCAGAAAAGCCCCTGCCTCTGGGGTTCACCCACCTCACTTCTGCTGGTGAGGGCACATGCAGTGGAGCCTCAGTTGCCAGTTTTATTCATACGTAGGCTCATGTGAGAGGAGGCAAGTCCTTCCTGGCGACGAGCAATCTCGCAACAGTGGCTTGTACAAAGCTTTCAAACAGTCTCCAAACAGAGTGCATTGCGGTAATCTATTCTGGATGGGATCAGATCCTCCCACCATCACTGTGCTGCAGAGAGAAGTAAAGATGTCATTGTACACAGTGGCTGAAACACCATTGCTTCTTTCTCCCTAGTGCTCACTGGGGGGGCAGGGTATAGTGACCGGCAGCTAGATGCTCCCTCTTTCCACCTCCACCCCCCAGCATCTGTTCTCCACACAAGGCAAGCAAGACTTATGCCTGTCACATTTGTCTCTCCCCAGGCAGGCCTGCTGGCACGGATGTGGTTCAGATCTGATCTTGATACTCTATTTTTGAATGCATAGCCCCAGAATGCATGACTGAATACTCTTTGCCACATTTCACCAAGCAGATCCAATGGCCTGAGGCTCCCTTGATGTCATGCTTGGGCACACTCTGCCCATTGGTTCAGTGACCCTTCATCTTGTGCTGGAATAAAGTAACCAGATGTAAAGGTCTGGCTTGGCTGGTTCAAGGCTGTACTTCGGTCTTGTACTTTGTTTTCCCTATTATGATGAAACTCTATTGGCTGAGAGTATTGCTAGTATAAACAGGAACTTTCTATCCCTCCAAACTGAATGCAGTGGTTTAGGAGAAGCACACTAGCCCTAGAGAATGCGGTCCTGGGAATCCTACGTTATGAATGAGAAAATAGCAGTTTCTCTAATAAATTCAACCAGAAGTTCATTATTTCAAATATGGAAATGAACACTTCTCCTTTTGACCCATTCTGAATTGTACTGGACAAATCTCCTTCTGCTCAGTGCAGAATACTTTTATGGATGTTATTCATAAGGTTTCTTTTTGCTGTTTTAATAGACTTTCTGTGCTTGATATGGCTTTTAATCTGTTACCCAATACCCACCTTGAGTCCCAGCTGACTGAAAGACAGGTTTATAAATGTTTTACTTACACACACACACACATATGAGAGAGAGAGAGAGAGAGAGAGAGAGAGAGAGAGAGAGAGAGAGAGAGAGAGAGAGAGAGAGAGAGAGAGAGAGAGAGAGAGAGAGAGAGAGAGAGAGAGAGAGAGAGAGAGAGAGAGAGAGAGAGAGAGAGAGAGAGAGAGAGAGAGAGAGAGAGAGAGAATGAGAATATGTTGGGAAAAGCTCATCTTTTTTTTCCAAGAGATTTCTCCCAGCTCATAATATTGATGCATGCAAGCTGTTGGGGCAGTCTGTGTGTGTGTTTATGTGTGAGTGTGTGCATTATCATGAACTATTTAATAAGATCCAGATTACTGCTAAATTCTGCTAAAGCAGAAGGAACAGCCATCAAGTGTAGTATGATATATATATTTTCCCACAAGCCCCAAGTAATGTCTGAACTGAAGTCTCAGCTGCCTTCCTAAAAGTCTACAATGAGCAATCCAGATAGATCTCTCTTGGGAGTGAATTCCATAGGGAGAGTTTTGTTACAGAAAATGCCTGCTTCTCAGCAACATTGGCCATTCCTCTGGAGACTCTATGGCACTTAAGGGCCCCTTAAATAATTGAAGACATCTTGGTTACATCCACTTGCCTTGGTGAAAGCACATGCTTTGCATACAGAGTGTTCCAACTCCAATCCGCAACATCTTTAAAAGATGGTAGGTCCTGGATCCTGGGAAATATGTTTCTCAGATGGCGATACTCAGCCTGCAATACACTTGGACCTGGTTCAAATCCTGGTTTCTGTGCCAAGTGCTTCAAAGTAGGGTTGATCCCAGGAATCCCATGAGTTTGCATTGCTAAGAAGTACAGAAAAAGTAGCTTCTTAGCAATGCAAACCAATGGGATTCCTAGGGGCACTTCTCTTTGAAGCAGCTGGCTTTGGACTGGGCCCTGTCTATGTGATTTTATAGGGCACAGTCTTCATAGTGCAGGGAAGTATGCTTTGGGGTGTTCCAAAGTCTTTTTGGAGGCAGCTGTACCCAGTCGTGTAGCAGTCAGAGCGTCAGAGTAGGATCTGGGAGACCTGCTTGGCCATGGAAACTTGCTGGGTGACCTTGGGCATGTGAATGTCTCTCCTAGCCTAACCTACCTCATAAGGTTGTTGTGAGGATAAAATGGAGGAGAGGAGAACAAGAGGGGAGAACAAGCTGGCTTGGGTCCCTGAAAACCAAGGCATAAATAGCTAAACATTTTTTTTTAATCGCTATTCGTGATTGGGCTGGAGAACTGGAAACCAGCTTCAGTTTCCTGAGGAACAAAGCCTTTCTCTGTCCACTTCCAGATTAAGAGAGCTGAGTTGACAATGAACACTCTTGATTTTTCTTCATGTAGGTGTTGAGTAGTTCTCAGGGCTATTTGGGCAGGAACGCACAGGAACGGAGTTCCGGCTGGCTTCAGAGTTGACCATGCCCACTAAAGCCAAAACCTCTGCGTGCGTGGCTACAGAGGGAAGGCCTGGAGAGTGACCCCCCCCCGCGACTCTGAGGTGGGTGGGCCGGGGCCCCCTGGAAGGATGGGGAGGCATTGAAATGCCTCCCCATGCCTACCCTGGCGTGTCCAAGGGCTGGCTTGCCCAGGCTCCCCACAGTCACGGGGCGCCCCCACAGTCACGGGGCGCCCCGGCAAGCCAAGGGAAGGCAATTTAAACTGCCTTCCTTTCAAGGGGGGGGGCTTGCCTGGGCAAACCAAAGGGAGGCAGTTTAAACTGCCTCCCCTCCCCTCCAAGGGGCGGCTTGCCCGTGCTCCCTACACCCTACAGCACCCAGGCAAGCCAAGGGAAGGCATGGGGTGTGGCCTAATATGCTAACGAGCTGTCCTGTCCTGGGTGTGGCCTAATATGCTAATGAGTTTCTGCTGTCGGGTGTGGCCTATTATGCTAATGAGTTCCTGCTGGGCTTTTTCTACAAAAAAAGCCCTGATAGTTCTCATGTTACATTCAACACATCTATAGCTGAATGTGTGATTTAAATCCCATGTTTATCCAAGTACTGGTCTCCAGTTTCATTTGTAAAGTGAAGCAGTGCTAGCATTTTGTTACAAACAGGTGCATGTAGGTGCAGGCTGTACCTACATCCACTGTCGCATGTAAACAGGGCTTAGGGCGGATAATGTACGAGTGTTATGAGCAATACAGGACGAAGGGGAAACCTTCAATGTGAGATTCAGCTGGGGCGCAGCACACATTCCGTTGGCGACATGAGTGTGTCCCGAATCTACCTGCCCGCTGGCGTGACCTATTTTGGATTGCTCTTCACTCGTGGCAATAAGGTAACCCGACCACGAGGGAAGGAAGGCGGTTTTATGAGGCGCTTTACGGTAGTAGCTGGCTGGCGGCAGTTGGTTCCTCTGCCTCGGGCTTGTTGCCTCTGTCTGTCCCGGGCAGGTGGGAGAGGCAGGAGGACGGAGGCGCGACGGGAGGAGGTGGCCGAGGCGCCCGGCCGCCCCTCGCCCGCTGCACCGCCCGAAGCGGCCACTCTGGCCGGGCTGCGGAGCCCCTCCAGGAGTCAGCTGGTGGTGGGAGAAGGGGAACCCAAGGGCGGCCGGCGCCAGGGAGTTTCATAAGAGACAAATCCTGGATCTAGGCGAGCGCAGCAGCGGGGTCGGCGGGATGACGGCGGAGGGAGGGAGGGAGTGAGGGGGGGCAGCCGCCGCCCCCCCCACCCCCCGGGGGAGAGCAGAGCCGGCTAGCTCAGGGAGGCGATCATCGCTGCTGCTGCTGCTCCTGCTCCTGAGGCCGGGGCTCCCGTCGTTGCCCGCTTGTCTTGAGCAACTTCCGTGGGGAAGAGCCCGCCGCCCCCTCCTCCTCCTCCTCCTGCCCCAGAGTGGCGGGTGGCGATGGAGGCTCCGGGCGGCGCCGCTGAGCTCCCCGATCTGAAGGACCTGGAGAGCAAAGTCGGGCAGAAGCCCCCCGACGGGCTGCTGCGCTGGCTGCGGGAAGACCCGGCTGCTCACCTCCTCCCCGGCAGCCCCAGCCGGGGGGGGCTCTTGGGGGAGAAGATCAAGGTGCTGAAGCTGGAACTGGTGAGTGAGTCCCGGCGGAAGCCAGCCTTTTGCCCCTCTTTGGCCCGGAGCTGCCCCTGGAGTGAAAGGGAAGCCCAAACCGACCACCCCCCCCCCTCGGTCTGAGGGGCACCCTTTCCCCGGCGCTTCCCGGCCGCTCTCTTGGGGTATGAAGTTCCTTCTGAGACAGGAGCCCGGTTCTTTGCCTGCTACCCCCCCCCCCCCGCGCGCGCGCGCGCGCAAGGGCAGCGCCCTATTCCGTGCCCTTGGGGTGCCCTCCTCACCTCCTTTTGCCCAGGTGAGACATTTGTCTTGACCGGACACCCTCCCATCAACACCACAGGGCGGTTCTTGGTCAAGTTCAATCCTCCCCCCTGTCTATGGGACAGAAGCACCTTATTCTCCTCAGGGCTTGCCCTGCAGTGTGGAATAGATAAGCCACCTTTTGGTCCCAAATGTTGGGGGGGGGGGTCCCTCCTCTTATTTGAAGGGAGGGGGCTGTTCACCCCCTGCTGGAGTTTCTCCACAGACCTTGAGTTTTTCATTCTCCTTCCGATGATGATTCGGCAGCTCAGATCACAATCAACCCATTCTTCTCCGAGTTGCGCAGCACCACATTTGGTCTTTTGCCACTATGGATTACAGCGAAGCCAGTGGAATGGGCAGTTTTTATGTGAGGGGCTGAGGTATCTCCCCCCCCCCACTTTCCCACTCCCTCCTGTTGTGACAGGTCAGCTGTAGACTCTGGGACATTTCTGATGCTGGACGCAGGGAAGTGTTCCAGCTTCCAAGCCCAGTACCACAAACCATCTAACTGCAGAACCCACTCTGTCTGTTCAGCTACACCACATGGATTTAAATGTGATTTCAGTGGGATCATTCGAAGCAGTTCTACTCAAGTGGTCACTAGAACTAACGCCGCTGCTTAAATTCCTCACAGATTCTGGTTAAACTGAGATAGGCTGAGAACTGATTAAATAGCAATATCCTAGATGCTTTTTTTTCTTCTGGAATACCTTTGAAGGATGTGGAAACAGTAAGATCAGCAGTGTTTTTATTGTGTCTGCAAAAAGAAAAACCCAGATAGTTTCCTTGCCTCTTGTATCATATACTTGATTTGGCCAATTCAAAGAACCACATTAGGGGGTTGTAAATATAGGCTGAGCAGATCTTGTCAGGCATCCAGCATCCTCTGAAGATCCCGTGGGATTTCTTTCTGATGTGTCCAAGTTGCAACCCAGGTAGATACCAGATAAATAGTAAAATTTATTGTGTAGCCATTAGCCTTTACAATTTAAAACAATGTAGAAAAGTTGCAACCCACTGCATACTTGCTTGGTAGGTAGACTTAGGTTGGGTGTTGGTGTGAAGTAGTAGAACGAAGTTTGAGTCCAGTGGTACCTTTAAGCAGGGGTCATTTCGTAGAAAAAGAGCTAGGGGAACTCATTAGCATAACTCATTAGCATATGCCACACCCCCTGACATCACCGGAAGTGTGTCATAAGGCCACACCTCCTGACATCACCGGAAATGTGTCATAAGGCCACACACCTCGCCCCCAACGGTCCCGGCCGCCGGTGCCGGCCTTGCAGCTCCACTGCCAAGCCCCATGAGGGGCCCGGCGGTGGATCTGCAAGGCCGGCGGGAGTGCAAGGAAGCCCCACGAAGGCCCTCCCTGGCCCCAGGCAGGCAGGGTTGGGGAGAGGCAGGGAGGAAGCAACTTACCCTCCCTCTTCTCCTGCCTCCTCCTGGCTGAATGAGGGCCGGAAGTGGAGCGGCCGGAAGCAGGGGGCGGGGCTTCATTGTGTGCCCCGCCCCCTGCACCTCACCCCGGGGGAACTGCGTTCCCCCGCGTTCCCCCCCGAAATGACCTCTGCCTTTAAGACCAACAAAGTTTTATTCAAGGTATGAGCTTTCCTGTGCAAGCATCTGAAGAAGTGTGTGTGCACACGAAAGCTTATGCCATGAATAAAAAAAATTGTTGGTCTTGAAGGTACCACTGGGTTCAGACTTTATTCTGTTACTTGGGAAGTGTATACCAAACTTGTCTGGAACCATTCTTATGGCCTCTTTGGAGTGTTCCAGGCAACTCAGTTTTTTCACTACAGCAGGCAAGAGTGTGCTGGTTGGCCCTCAGGGAAAAATGGATACATGGGAAGGAATCTCTCCCCCACACACACATTGTTTTTCATTCTCTTTACTTTGAAATATTTCAGATTTGCTGGGATCTCCCAAGGTGAACTGATGCTTTAGAGCTAAGAGCACTTTTGAGTGCAGTGGAGAGGCTGGGAGTTGCTAGCAGTGTCAGTGGAGACATTTGCAGCACAAATCCCTCCGCAGCCATGACTTCCCTAGGTAGCTTTAGGTAAGGCACCATCTCTTAGTCTCATAACACCCACCACATTTTAGATAATACTTCAGACCTACTTTGTCATGTTGTTGTAATGATTACCGTGAGAATTATATGTGGAATGACTTCAGCATCTGAAACAAATGCTAAGTGTCATTTGGTGGACCCATTTGGTGCCCTCAAGAAACAGTTAAAGCTGATGCACCTGAACTTCAATCATTTTAACTCATTGAAATCAACATGCATAAACTGGTACTTTATGCACTGCACTGTAAGAGACAGTCCACGTGACATATTTGCTGGAGGAGTGTGCTCAGTGTACCTATAAATCATAGATTTGTTGGCCTATCTATTCCCAGCTCAAGTGAATTGCTCTAAAGCTCTCTGAGCATCTCCGAGTTAGGCTTCCAATTGTTTTTCATTACAGCGTAATGATTTTCTGCTACCACAGCCAAGAATCTCCACAGCCCAGTGTGCCCACCACAATTTCACTTCCAAACTAGCAAACAGAATACTGGTAATCTAGTGGTTTACTGAGTTTCACATGCAAAATCCACTCAATGCTGCATTTATGGACTTGCCCCATGCTCCTGTTTTTGTACAGTGACAACTCCATACCTGTCTGCCTCTCCACTGACAAGAAGAATGCTAAGGAGGGCTTGCCAGAATGTTGTTGTTCAGTCACACAGTCGAGTCCGACTCTTCGCGACCCCATGGACCAGTTCACGCCAGGCCTTCATTGCCAGAATACAACTAATAAAATGAGCCATGACAGTTTTGTACTTTGCATTCAGCATGCATTTGATTCAGCATATTTAAGACACAAATCTGACTAAAAACGTGGTAGAATAACAAGTAGCTCTGGGATTTCATTTCTCCCTTCTTGGTGCCTTTGCAACACCATTGAGCAGTAAGAGCATAGGAAGCACTTTGTAGGGCATGTTTAATATTAATTAGTGATTAATGGCAATCAAGCAGCAGATTTGCTTGTTGAAGGCTGGAGTACAGATACAAGCTTCCTGTTTGGGCTTGTCTAGAGTAAACCTGAGTAAAATTCTTCAGTCATACAGGATGATCGCCCAATCCCTAAATCAGTGATAGGTAAAGCTAAAGGTTCCCTTGCTCGAAAGCCAGTCCAGTCCGACTCTAGGGTTGCGGTGCTCATCTCCGTTTCAAAGCCGAAGAGCCAGCGCTGTCCGAAGACGTTTCTGTGGTCATGTGGCCGGCATGACTAAACACCAATGCGCACGGAACGCTGTTACCTTCCCACCGAAGTGGTACCTATTTATCTACTTGCAATTTCTTGCTTTCAAACGGCTAGGTTGGCAGGAGCTGGAACTAGAGACGGGAGCTCACTCCATCATGCGGCAACTCGGGTCTTGAACTGCTGAACTACTGACCTTCCACAGCCTGCGGGTCAGCGTCTTAACCACTTGTGCAACCGCAGCTCCTAAATCAGTGATAGAAAGTACTTAAAAGTGTAGTTGTTTTAGTCCTATTAGCTTCCATAGAAAGAACACCCTGACCTCAGGTGTATATAAATGGCAGTGATTCTGCTGATTTTAATGCAACTCATGGAACTGTAGTAGCTAGCATTACACAGTGGCTTAGGACAGAACTGCATCTCTTATGTCATCCTACAATTCTTCAAGGAAAACCTTTCATTTTTGCAAAATGCAGCCTCAACTGCTGCAGGGGAAAGGGATTCCCTGAGGCCTTTCTTTTGCTGAAAATTCCTCCGCCACACACACTTTTATTGTCATTTGGTTTTTAAAAAGTGAGTATGCATAGGTTTTTCCCAGCAGACGTTGAGATGCCATTTTCAGCAGAGAATGGCCAGAAGAAGATTAAGAAGCTCCTCTCTCCCTGATCCAGTCTGTCCTTTAAATTGCAGCCAGGGATGCTGGCTTTTATAAGGACAAAAAATCCATATTTTTCACAGAACTACACATAGCATACAGTTTCACCCTATGAATGAAAGCCATCTCATCCAAGGTGGTCACTGACAAATATCAAGATAAATGCACTGACATTGGGTCATGATGGCCCACCTGCCAACCTCCCCATAACCCATCACCACACCCTTGCAGTTAGCTGTTCATTTCCTTGCCTGAGGCTAGTAGTAAGGATTCCTTTTGGACATGTAGCTTGCCTGGCCACTCACTGCTCACTCCACTTTGTGACACAGCTGTATGTGCAGACAGACTCTGAATAGCAACAATGGTTGGCTGGTTCTTTGTGCCCATTTATTATTTATTTGTTTTTATTTACTTCATTTATACTTTGTTTGTCCCCAGTAGGTATCCAAAATGGCTTACAATAGTTTCCACATCTCTGTTTTATTTTCACAACAACCCTCTGAAATAGGTTAGGCTGAGAGTGTGTAACTCGCCAAGATCATGCAGTAAGCTTCCATGGTAAAGTGCAGGTTTGACCCGGGACTCTCAGATTCTAGTCTAACACTCGAGCCCCTAAACCACGCCCAAAAAGTATGTGGAAACCAGTTGCTTAAATTAGCTCTGTGTGTGGCACTGCTAGGAATGCTCAGGCATCCCTATTGCTTTCTTTTTATTTTTCTCAGTATCCTTGTACATTTTTTAAAACCAGAATTTGAAACTAAGTAGATGATGTATCAATTGGAATACAAACTTCAAATCCTCCTGCCACTGTA